CCAAGCTTGCAAGCGTGTTGCTAGATTTTTGTTGCCAATGACAATAACTGATGCTTCAGATACCAATAACTTTCTGATAAAACACACACATGCGCTGAACATGCACACTCCACCCTGTGTGGCTAGTAGCGACAACCATGTAATAGCTGGCCGTAAATCTTGGTGAAAGGGCTGGATCAAGGCTTTTGTTTCAATAATATATATAGGGATTAAAGGGACACTATAGGCACCCAGACCACTGCAGCTTATTGAATTGGTCTGGGTGCAGTGTCCCTATTGTACTTAGTGCTGCAATGTAAAACATTGCAGTCCTAGAGAACTGTAATGTTTACATTGCAATACCAAGTCTGCCCTCAGTGGCTTCCTGTATCGAAACAGACCTTCGGTCTGGTATCTGACATTAGGCGTCCTCACGCTCTGCATGAGGACCTCCAGCAACTGATTCTTCCCCATAGGAAAACATTAATTCAATGCTTTCCTATGAGGAGGTCTAATGCGCATGCAGCATTTGCTGTGCATGCGCATAAGCGCCCGCTCGTCGCAGGCTGTCGGAGGGGGGCGGGGCCAGGTCCCAGTGCCGAGGGACAATGGCACTGGGAAAAAGTGAGTAAATGAAGGGGGTTTTAATCCTTTATTCACCCAGGTGAGGGGGAGGATGCGAGAGAGCGGGAAGCTAGAGGGAGCTACAGTGCCAGGAATATGCGGTCGGTTAACCTCTTTACACCAGGCATAGCTACCAGTAACTTCCTGTCACTGCTGTTAAATTTTGCAGTCGATAACCAGTTGCTATATGGTAACTGTAGCTGCACACATTTTAGAGAGTAGCAGATAGCTGTTAAAAATAAGCGACAGAGCTGTAATGAGCCTTAAGGGGAGCTTAGGAAATAACATGTAATCTAATCACACATGGATGACACCCATTTGGACTGTACATTTACTCCTACATAGCAGAAATCCATAAAGAGTAACAGAGGGAACTGCATACAAAATGTTACAAAGAGAATTGAAAGTAAAATTTTCGTTAGTGACATTTCATATTATGATTTATGTAATGATTATTAGTATTACTATTATGTTGGTATGATTGGCTCCCTTGTTTTATGGTTAACTATGGATGTAAATAAAATACAATGTTACAGTTAGTATCCCTTTTAAACATTCATAAACCCTTAAAAAAAAAAATCAGACATGAACTTCAGCTATAGGAAAATGTATTGTAGTAATGCTTTGTGGGTCGAAGTTTTGGATCAAAGGTGAATACAATGCAGCAGGCTCAGGTACCAGTTCAAAATGTGAAGTTAATGACCAAGCGCATAAAATTGTGAAAAAGGAGATGATGAGGCAGCTTGAACACATTCAATTTTAACTATTGCCATGGTGCCAAGCTAGAAATTGCAGAGAGGTGCTTAACATAAGATTAAAGACTTGGAAAGATTTAGAAGAGGTGTATTTATTATTGGCATATATAGGTTTTTGTAATGTAAATGGCGGTATCCCTGGTCATTGAAGAAGTTACTTGGAAAACGCATAATCCAGAAATATGTTTTTGGATCTATGAAATAGCGTAAGGACAACCCACCAGCAGTAGTAGAATCAGAAAACAAAATGAGACATTATTTCCACATTTTTACCTTAATCAAAGCAGCTAAAGAAAAGCAGCTCAATTAAATCATTGTTCTTTGGACCACTACATCTTTTCAAAGCTTTTTTAAAAACTTGGTTATCCAGGCAATTTCATCTATACATCGTGCTAGCGTATTGCTAACAAATGTATAGGTTTTCCAATATTTTAAGTATTAGATGGCCTCCCTGGTAGAAAGACTATCAGCATTTACTCATTGCTGATGTTTGTCTGCATTTTAGCCCGACTACCCAAATGCTGACAACCCAGCTTCAGTATTGGGGCCATGCATGTGTTCCATTTATATCGCCATCGGTATCCTGATTGAAGAACTGGCAATGACAGGCAGGGCAGAGAGGAATCTTCATGCACACAATGGTGGGGTAATGGTAGTGCTGGAACAGTAACAGAGAAGGTGAGTATCCTTGAAAAATGGTGGAAAAAGCTCCATTACAACAGATGGGGAAAATAACATTTTGTGTAAGTATTCAAGTAATTTATTTTATTTAGCTAGTTATAAAAATGACTACAAGTTAACTTTAAGTCTGAGAGGGCTCAGACTCTCTGTTATGCAACAAATTAGGGAAAAAAATCATCTTAACCCTATCTCTCCACATCCTTATTGTTCTTACTGTAAAGAACCATTGTCTTTGCCTTAGACTAAATCTCCTTTGTTTTAGTCTAAATGGGTGAACTTGTTTATGTTTATGAATAGATTTCCAGACAATGTGTATGTGCATGAGAAGTATATATGTCTGCATATCTGATTGCATGTCTATGTATATATGTGTAGGCATATATGAAGTAGATATCCTTACCTCACATGGGATATTTTTGCATTGTTCATTTATGCACATGCATGTTGTATTTTTAGTATGTCGTTTACAACCTATGATGTGTGCTTCAGTAATAAGGACAATCCTAAATTGTGCATACATTGATAATCCTCTTGTCTATACCTTTGCAAACTTGTCAAGTTACACAGTCAACCATAGTCTAGAGTCATAACTGTTACCATCACCTTCTCCTCGCACCTAGATAGACTGATCCTATATAACACTGTAATGTTGTACTTAGGAAACTGCCTGTAATACATTTAATATTGTGCATATGATATAATGCCACATGCATGTGTAATATAAAAAACTTGCTTCAGCTGTTGTGGCTTAGCAAGCTTAACTGTCAATAACTGCACACACAAAAACAAAGTTACACAGTCAAATTAGAATCTTACTAATTTCATTATTTTTTTTTTATAGGATATACTGCTGTTTTGTTGTTGGATGACTTGCCACATGTTGCAAAATCATTATTAGAAATAATCAATTCAAGGTATCTCACGCAGTGTGTTTTGAACACTCTTGTAGGGACAGTTTTTATGAATCTCTTTCAAAATGCTTTGATATTGATTCTGTAATTCCACATTCTGTTCATTAGATTTTTGCTCTATATTTTGTAAGTCTGATGTGTGCTTCTATATTTAAAATCCTAGATTGTGGCAAACTACTTCTCTTGACTTGAATATTACAGACCATGCCCTTGTTGACTTTTAAAAGGAAAACTCCACTGGTCCAATATGAAAATAAAAAAATCACTATTTAGTAGATATAATACTTGCTTGCATTTAATTATGCATTTTTGCATTATGGTTTCAAAAAGCTACAGATCTCTTACCTGCAGCCATTGCAAGTCCTCCCATTTTTGGTATGGCCAATCAGTCTCTGATTTTCAGCAGCACATGTGCTTGGAACCAGGCAGCCCCAGCAGCAGAGGTAAACTGAGCCCTTTGCAAGTGCTCACATGGTCACTGTGATTTGGGTTAAACATGCAAGTACGCTCTAGCAGACTGCCCCTGCCACTTATGTTAGCTCTGTGGATCTAATGGAATCAGGACGTTAACGCCATTTGCTGTCTGAATGACAGTCAGGGAGGTGTTTATAAAAGTACTGATGTCAGATATAAATTAGCACTTTTATTGACTGTAAGTAAAATAACACACAAAGCACATATACAAGCTGAAGTGTATTGTGTGTATAGACTGTTCCTTTAAAGAAGTTGCCATTTTTTTGTTTTGTTATTTAAATTAGAATACTAGACACTTAAGTTACATCTTAGTCATTCACATACCCAAATTATTTCATACAGGCATACCATTGCGAAAGCAGACATCCCTGAGCAAATACCCTAAATTAAAGTACTGTCTTCCATCTGTGAACGTGAATACCCAGCTGATATTTCTATGCCTTGTACACACTGTGGTGAGGGTAAAGTTGTTATTTCTCTACAGCCACCAATAGAGTCAGGAAGTGATCGATTCATAGAGTGCAAGAAATAGATACGGTAGGAGAAAAAAAATACTATCATCGTTTTACTCATCCACTAAAGAGAACAGCTTGGAAGTCTGATATCAAGATTTTTGCATACTATGTTATCTGGAGTGATTATTTTTCATACCTCTAGATTTTTTTGATTTTTGATTTTTTTTAAAAAGATTTTGTTATATATTTATATAACGTGGTACATTTCCTATGACCTTTGTCTTATATCATATTATTTTATTCTGGTTATTTTCAAAATAACTTTAGTGTCCTCTAATAATGTTGTCCCATTCTAGATAGGTGATACTCTCTTGTGTAGTCTTGGAAACAAGGCTTAACATGTAGTTATTTAGCTAAATGTTAGTATTATATTCCTCCATGTGATATGATTTACATACAAGTAATTTCTTTTTGTATAGTGAAAATGTTATCTTGAGTTTTTTTTTTCAATTTGTACTTTTATTGAGTTTTTCATAACAGTTGGGGTACAGAAAGGAAGAGGGGTAGGTGGGTAAAGGGTAAAAGAGAAGCGATACCACAATACATTTCAATATACAGTTTCAGCATGTTTCAGAACTTGCAAGTCCTGGGTCTGTATGCAAAGCCTTCTAGTAATATATACCGTATCCAACAATGTACAGTTACAGGTGCGTGTGCTTATCTATGGATGCCTCCCAGTCGAGGTGCGCCTCTGCAGATTTGCCCGGTGTGTTTTCCACCATCTAGGGTTGGGCCTTTTGCCCCTACAATCTAGGGTGAGCACTGGTGGTCGTTCTTTGGTCATTGTTGTTGCTGATTATACATAGGTTGTTGCTGAACATGCATATGCCCACGTGACTTGCCCCCTATTATCCTGAGGCTAGCTATACTGTTCCTCCCTTCTGCTTGGTTGTCCCGCGTTTGTGTGGGGTGTAAGTCTATAGTTATGATGCTAACTATGGTAAGTTCAAAGCTATAATACCGCCTATGGTACTGCTAGTGGATCAAAAGTTATCCATTTATGCCAATTATTGTTTGTGGCAGTCTTATGTTTTGGTGTGGTTGTGGACAATTGCTCATACCTAAGGTACTGTCGGATTTTACTATGTAATAGCTGTGACGATGGGCATTCTTTCTGCTTCCAGTGGTATGCTAGGAGATTACGTGCTGCCATGATTACCATAATCATTAGTTGTCTATCTTGATAAGGGGTGGTCATGGGTATCAGAAGAAATAGGCCTATCTCGGGTGTGATCTTACCCCGGAGAACCCCTAAGGAATTACAGATCGTCTGGACCTCCGTCCACAATGGTTGTATGTTCGGGCAATGCCACCATATGTGGTTCATTGTGCCCCTGTCCTGTTCGCACCTCCAACATTGTGCTGATGATAGTGGGTATATTTTGTTAAGTTTGTCGGGTGTAAGGTACCATCTATAGATCAATTTTTTGTGTGCTTCTACATGCGAGTAGCAGGATGTGATACCCTTGAGCGCTAGGATTGATCGTAGCCACTGATCTTTAGGAAAGCGAATAGTTTGTTCCCTATTCCACTGTGCCATAAAGGAAAAGTCTGGCATCGTGTTAGTGTGTCTTAGGGCTGCATAGCTGAGGGATAGTGAGCGGGCTCTGATTGGGGCCGTACGGCATCTGTCATACAGTGCCAATCTTTCTGTGTTGGTGTTGTCTGTAGTTTGTGTTGTGAGCAGTACTCGTTCTTGGATAATGCTTTTTAGTTGGACATATGGGAAGATGAAGGATGGTGGGAGGTTGTATGCGGTCTGTAAATCTGGGAAGGGGATGATGTCCCTTTGTGAACATAGGTTAGTAATATGGGTAATTCCCAGTGCTGACCATTTTTTGAACGATAACCACGGGGATATAGATTGTAGTGCCTCTATGGGTGCCCATTTTAGGAATTTGTTGTCAGTCGCTTGCAAGCGGTGTAATTGGTCCCAGACTTGTATGGTGGTCCTAGTAAGGGGCAATAATGCTTGGGATTTGTCTCGTAGTTGTTTGGGTGTCCACATATAGTGTATTGCTGAGCTTCCTGTACCGTATTCATTTTCCATGTCGACCCACTGAAGTGTATTTTTTGGGGCGTGTAATTTGATAGCTGCTTCTAGTACTGCTGCTTTGTGGTACATTAGGACATTAGGGAAACCCAATCCTCCCAACTTAACCGGGGTTTGCAGCAAGGATAAGGGTATGCGGGGCTTTTTGTTTTCCCACACAAAAACCGATAACAATTTTTGGATTTGGGCGCTTAATGAGAGAGAGAGAGGTAGTGGTAACATCCTGAAGACGTATAATATTTTCGGTAGTATCATCATTTTAACAGTATTTATCCTGCCTAACCATGTGATTTGCACATCTTTCCATTTATGTAAGAGTTGTTTACACATTTGAGGGAGTGTGGATATGTTATGCATGGCTGTTCTCCTAGGAGAAGTAGCAATTTTGACCCCTAGGTATGTGATGTGAGAGTGCCTCCAGTCGAAGGGGAACTGGGCTTGCAATGGAGTTACAGTCGTGGTCGGCAGTCGGATTGGGAGTGCTTGGGTCTTAGTTTGATTCAGTTTGTAATACGAGATTTGTCCAAAGTCATGTAGCGTGCGCATGAGGTGCGGCAGGGATTGTGTGGGCTGAGTCAGGGATACTAGGACATCGTCCGCAAACATGGCCAGTTTGTATTCCCTTTGCCGTATCCGTATGCCCCTGATATCCGTGTGCTTGCGAATTGTGCATGCAAGCGGTTCCAAAGATAACACAAACAACAGGGGGGATAACGGGCATCCCTGGCGTGTGCCGTTTGTGATCTTGAAGGGGCTCGAAAGGAAGCCGCCACTGGAGACCTTGGCTGTTGGGCTGGAATACAGAGCCAAGACGCCCTTAATAAATGGTGCGGGGAAGCCAAATTTTAGGAGAACTTGCTCCATATATTTCCAATTCAGTCTGTCGAAGGCCTTCTCGGCGTCCAGCACCAGCAGAAGACCCTCCACGTTATTATTTTCCATATGTGCCAAAATGTTGAGGATTTTCCTCGTGTTGTCCGATCCCTGTCTATTTTTAACAAAACCTGATTGATCATTATGCGTTATTCGGGTGAGAATGTCTTTCAGGCGTTCGGCTAGGGCTTTAGCGTAGATTTTCGTGTCGCTATTGAGGAGGGAGATTGGGCGGAAATTTTGGCATTGGTTCGCTGGTTTTCCAGGCTTGGGCAGTGTGGAGATATGTGCTAGTAGCATGTCCTGGGGCATCGACCCTGTGTCAAAACAATGATTGCAGAGGTTTGTTAAGTGAGGTAGCAGCAGGTCGGAAAAGGTCTGATAATATACATTTGTATAACCATCCGGACCTGGGGATTTATGAGCTGGTAGTTTTGTTATGATGCTTAATATTTCTGCGTTAGTGAAGGGGCGAGTAAGGGCCTCTATTTCTGCGTCTGTAAGTGTAGGTAAGTCAATATTTGCTAGGAAGCGCTGAATTTGATCTTCTGAAGGGACGTGAGTAGACTCTTGGTTCTCTAAGTTATAAAGGGAGCTATAATAGGTTGCAAATTCTTCCACAATATCTTGTGGGTTCAGCAGTTTGTGCTTATCTGAGGATAAAAGAAATTCCACTCGTGAGTGGGTAGTACGCGCTTTTAGCTTGGAGGCGAGGATTTTCCCTGATTTGTTGCCTTGCGCAAAAAATTTGTGTCTGTATCTGTGTAAGATATGATTGGTTTTGTTTAGTTCCACCTCATTGAGCTGGGTTTGTAGTGTTCGAAGCTTGTCATACTGTGTTTGTGTGGGGTTTTGTTTATTGGCGTGCGTGATGGCCATGATTTTCTGGAGAAGGGTATCATACGTGGCCTTTCTTAGCTTTTTGGCATAGCTGCCATGTTTGATCAGCGAGCCCCTGACGACCGCCTTATGGGCTTGCCATATCGTGTCAGCGGTTACATCTCCTGAGCAGTTTATGTCAAAGTACATTTTAATGTCGTCCCTAATATGTTGGGCAATCTGTGGATCTTTTAATAAGGATTCATTGAGTCTCCAGGACCCTTGGCCTTCATGTGGAAATTTTTCTGTTATCGTCAGGGTTATGGGTGCATGGTCTGACCATGTGATCTGTCCAATGCTCGTTCCTTGTACTGTCGGAATTAGGGATTGAGGGATCAAGAATCTATCGATCCTAGAGTAGGAGTTGTGCGCCTGGGAGTGAAAGGTGAAGTCTTTTTCTGAAGGATGTAGCACTCTCCAGATGTCTAATAGGCCTGCTTTGTGTATGTGATGTCTAACCTGGTGTGTAATGGCGGATCTCTTCTTAGCGGTGGTGTGTGACACTGTGGTGTTTGATGTAGTGTCTAGGTTGCTATCTAGCAGAAAGTTCGTGTCACCCCCTATAATTAATTTACCATATGTATATGTTTGGGTGAGCGTAATTATCTTGTCTAGATATATACCTTGATTATCGTGAGGGCCATAGACATTTAGAAGCGTGTACGGTTCATTATTAATCTGACATTGTATTAAAAGATATCTCCCTTCTTTGTCCCCTATTTTCTTATGAAGCGTGAAGGAGACATCCTTACTGATTAATATAGATACGCCTCTCTTCTTTTTACTGTATCCTACGTGATACCTGGTAGGGTAGAATTTAGATGAGAATCTAGGCATTTTGTTTCTGAGAAAGTGGGTTTCTTGGTAGAAAGCTACATGTGCTCTTAGTTTCTTTGTTTCGGCTAGAGCTAATCTCCGTTTATGGGGTGAATTAAGCCCTTTGGTATTGAGCGATAAAATGGTCAGGGCCATTTGCATGGTACAGTGATGCTATCTTGAATTCTGTCATGTGCATGTCGCACCCAATTGTAAATTTTTAGTGCAAAGTGATATCCTTGTCTTGGGACTTGTACAATAAGAGGTGAGGTGTATTGTCTTAGCTTTTTGTTTGTTTTAACTCTGTTGATCAGGAGTGTTCCTGGTGGGCACCCTGCTATAAGTGAGCTCGGAGGGTGGGAAGGAGGGGGGAGGGTAGATGGCCAAGTGGCAACTATATACAACATGGAGTACAGACGTATTCCGTCTGTGGACGAGAGTTGATCTCGCGGCTTAATAAAGCCAAAGTGGGGGAGGGTGTTTATAGGACTTGAGAAACTGCCCTTTACTTTTATAACATCTTACATTCCTATAACAGTTTGATGGTGGGAATGGTACACTGGTTGGCTACATGAGATGTCATGCCTGCTCATAACATTCCCGTCAATAAGCTTACATTAAAGTAAAAAAATAAAAATAAAAAAAATGAGTGGAAATGAAAATGATGAACGAAAAGAACAAAAAACAAAGAAATGACATAATTGCTACATATAACAATTCAACAGTTGCAATCATGTATGAGTATGCTCACGCATCCCTAGGACTGTGAACCAGGTCCCTGGTAGAGATAGCGGCAATCCTAAAGATGTTTGGTTTTCGTGACTCAGTCCTTGTCACTTGTGCTTGGACATCGACATCCATTCTTTGGATACTTTTGTGGGCGACTTGCGTTGTTTGTTGGGTGGGTCTGCGATATCTTGGGGTGCCACCGGCATATTCCAATCTTTGAGCATTTGGATTCCTTCCCTGACAGTGTGGATTTGGTGCTCCACTCCGTTCTTCCTGACAATAATTCGTGTCGGGTAGCCCCATTTGTAGGGCATATCAGCGTTCCTCCGCGTTTTGGTGATCGGTGCTAGCTCTTTGCGTTTAGCTAGTGTCGTCGCCGACAGATCGGTGAAGAGTTGGATGCCACTATATTCCTCTGGGATGTTATCCCTGTGCCTTGCCGCTTTCATGACACTTTCTTTGGAAGTGAAAAAGTGTACTCTAGTGAGTACGTCTCTTGGTATGGAGGCTGCAAGGAAGCGCGGTTTGGGAAGCCTGTGTATACGATCCAGGCGTAGATCTGCCTCCTCAAGCTCTGGGCACAGTGCTTTAAATAGTTTTATAGCGAAACCTTGTAAGTCTGCTGGCTTAATATCCTCCGATATGCCCCGCAGGCGTATATTATTCCTTCTGTTGCGATCCTCATGGTCCGCCACTTTTGCAATCAAAGTGTCAATTTTAGCACCAAAGGAGTCATAGGCCTCTACCAGGTTGTTATGGGCCTCTATGATTTCTTCTGTCTTTTCCTCTAATATAGCCGTACGCTCCCCTATTGCTTGGATATCAGCCCTAACATCTCGGGCGAGTTTGCTGAATTCACTTTGCAGGTTGTGCTGCAGTTCTTGCAGCATTCTATGCATTGAGGATTCAGAGGCAGGTGCTGAGTTCCCCTGGGAGATGGAAGTGCTGTCGCTCCGATCGGAGCATGCTGCTGGGGATGTATGGCCTCCGCCGCCATCTTGGGCCCTGTTCCTGGGCGGCGTGAGCGATGTTATCTGTAGCTCTGCCGGGCGTATTTTAGTTTTTTTTGCTGTCCGAAGGGACATGGTCGGTCTGTGAGGCTTACCGCTCCGTTTTCGAGCCGGTAGGGCAGTTTATGCTCTGCTATTTGCGGTGTAGGTTTTCACCCTCGTCGGAGCTGGGAGCTTACGCGTCCATGTTCGCGCGCTGCCAGGCCACGCCTATCTTGAGTTTTTTAAGTTATATTGAGTTATTCATTTATCTTTTGGGTGATATCTTATAACTTATATTGCCTTTGTTTTGCAGGTGACATATGTGGTGACATATGGATTAAGAATAAAACTTCACACAACATAAGGTATGATTTATCTTTCCTTTTTACCTTGTGTCTAATTAATTTCATACTGTTTGATATTTTTCTAACTATTTAAGATTATAAACAGCACTATACCAGTTTGATTTTATATACATATATATATAAACTTAAATATTTTTGTCACAATTTCTCATTTGGATGGACTTTTTTTAATAGGGAACGCCAGGTTTGCAAAAAAGCAGACATTAAAACATACACAGGAACACAAGAAAGCATAAAAGAAGTCAAAAAAATTCCAAACATTTGCACATTATCTTTAAATTCAGATAATTTAGGAGGATGGTTTCATAATATTTAAATTTATGCAAAATACTAAAATGAGATGTGTATGGAATGCAGTGATCATGTTTTTAAATATATTCGTAAGCTATAAATTAGCTATAAATTAATTTGTCATGGTTACCAGTTCTAATAGGGTCTGTTATGTTTCCATGGTATTTGTGCCTCGATTAACTTAATATTTTATTTTTCACAAAGTTACCTGCGTCTCTATATTAACACACTTCTATATGAAACATGACATTTTACAACAATATCGATTTGGCCTTAATCTATTTTGATTATTTGATTTTCTTTTCTTTTTCTTTAAATTATTTTCTTTTACCTTGAAAACTAAACACATATCTTTCATTATGTATGTGTTCCAAATTAAATACATGCTGTTTTGTTAATTTCAGTGAGGATAGCTGAGTTGTTTTCTTTTTTTTTAAATATTGTTATTTGTATTTTGCCTTGAGCATGTTGACATACTATTGCTATTAAATGTTTCGAATGTGTCCTTTAAAATTATGCTTTGATTTGTATACAAGGACATTATAAAACTGCACATAATAATTATTTTGGTAAAAATACGAATATTGTTTATTTGGCAAGATTATAGCTTTATCCCCAGTCCAAAGAATGAGTAGTTACAGGACAGTTTAATGCAGAACTCTGAAAACATCAAATCACACATTTGGTTGATACAGAAATGATTGTATGCTTTATGCAAGTGATTGTACAGGAGCAGGCAACCTTTGGCACTCCAGATGTTGTGGACTACATCTCCAATAATGCTTTTATAGACATAATGCTGACAAAACACCAGGGAGTTTGGTGTATGTTTAATGTCATAAAGGACAACAACATTAATGAGAAATCTATATTTTGAATTTATTTTTGCTAGGTTGTGATCATATACACTGATCAGCCACAACATTAAAGCTACTGACAGGTGAAGTGAATAGTAATTTCTTGAATTTCATGTGTTGGAAGGGCCATATAGTGATGGCTAGGCAACTAGTCTTGTGGGGTGATCCTGGTATGAAGTAGTTAGTACCTACCAAATGTGGTGCAGGGAAGGACAACTGGTGAACAGGCATATGGGTGCCCAAGGTTCATCGATGCATTTCGGAAACGAAGGCTAGTCCATCTGGTCTGATCACACAGAAGAGGTAATGTAGCTCAAATTGCTAAAATACTTAATGATGGCCATAATAGGTGTCAGAACACACAGTGCATTGCAGTTTGCTGCATATAGGGCTATGCAGCCACCGCAAGTGCCTTCAATATGGATGTGAGAGTCAGAACTGGACCATGGAGCAATGAAAAAGGTGGCCTTGTCTGAAGAAGAGATTGCAGCAGAATGCACTATGGAGATAATGCAGGTTATGCTTTGGGCAATGTTCTGCTAGGAAACCTTGGGTCCTGGCCTTCGTGTGGATGTTACTTTGAGATGTACCATCTTCCTAGAGTTTATTGCAGACCTCATACACCTATAAGTGGCAATGGCAAAGAGTGTCATCTTTCAGGAGGATAATACAACCAGTCACACTGCAAAAAATGTTCAGATGATGATGATGATTCTAGATTGCTCCAGTAGTGAATAAGTAACTTGCCTTTGTGTTTTGTTTCTTTATTGATTTTTATTAAGATTTGATGTAAGATATCAAAAACATTTCCAAATCAATATAATATCTTCATAATGGGACATGTGTAAATATATAATTGATAATGCTTAATCACAGTAGCAAACTGAGACAATAAGGAACCCATTGGCAGAGACAGGAATGACTAGGAGCCAAGAGTGGGAGGAAAATGCAAGGGGTTTGAGAAGATTTCAGCTACAGAGTCTGTGAAAGAAGTCTAAAATGTCTTTAAAAGACAAAATGTGACAATATCTGCATGGAAGAATGATTGGATGAATGGGGTCAATTCTTGCCAGTCCATTGGACAGGGGGCAAGTCCATACCCAGAATAATTGCTATGGTGATCTCTAGTGCCAGAGGA